TTCTGCTATTAGTCACTTTATTTACCCTGTTCAAAGCCAAACAAACCACCACCTACATATAAAATTCCCAAAACTTGCCTTTGTGAAGTAAGAGGCGAGTTTGCATAATTGTTTATGGGTTATTGCGCATTTTATGTGTGAATTAACCCATATAGCGAGGTGGGCGCCTGAACCCATTCATGGGAATCCTGAGACCAGGATAACCGTTAATACTTTCACTCTATTTATCCTTGTTTTACAAGTTTTTGACATTTGTAATTTTGACCTAATTTTCCTTTTGATAAAGTATAAATCCACAAAATTTTTATTGCAAGCTCACTAGACTTGATAGAGTTCTGCCTGCTTCACCAATTTGATGCATTTATTTACTTTACATGCGTTTATTTAATCTCTTTAGAAATATCTTCTATAGAAACTCAAAAACTGGCCCGGTACAATGCCAACGTCCCATTTCCCTACCCCTTCGTTCCCCTGTACATGGAAGTTTACTGTTAATTTTGCGCATGTAACGTAAACATATATAGCGCGCCGCTGCGCAAACATTTTCAACATAGACATTCTGTGCGCAGGGAAATCACGCCCTCAGAACAAACATCCTGAACTTGAGCCTTTGCCTGAAATGAAGTGGAAAGCGACAAGGGAATCGACGCGAAAGCGAACATTTCCGTCTGAAACTTTCGATAAGGGCAGATGACTTTTTCGACAGGTCTGAGTCATATGTGCTAGTGAAAGGACACGACGATCAGTGTTCATTTTAGGAAATCTTGAAATTTTTTTGAAATCCAGTACTTTTTCCTCCTCACATCAAATTTCACGTGTGGGAAGATTGGGCGAGAACTGGTCCCCTGGCTTGCGTATCTCCATTCTCAAGAGTGCGTAAAGTCATACAATTTAATTCATTTTCACTATAATTATAGCTAAGAGACATTACGAAAGTTTTCATAAGAGTCAAATTTTCCAAACTTAACATATCTTTATCCTATCTTCTTTTCTATTTTTACA